CGACCCCATGCCGAGGAACCAAACCTGCACCCTAGCTGCACTCACCAACCCCACTTGGGCTGCTCTGACCTGCGGGTGAGTCTGGGCTCCCCAACCTGCAGGGCCCCTCACTTCTGCCCCAGGGAGGCCCAGCGCTCATCTTGCTCTGTGCTTCCAGGACTTGGTTCTGGTCAACCCACGCCTACCTGGTGGCTTCCCCCGGCTGCACAGGTCCACACGACGCAGGAGATACAAGAACCCAGACCACAGCTGCAGTGAGCAAATCCTTTAAGGTGACTGGCCCAGGACCAAGAAAGGATTAGAGAAGAGGAGTGAGGCCAGACGCAGGGGCTCCACTGTGCCCCCCACCGAGTGACTGACCCGCTGCTCAGTAGCCTCCCAGCTCAGTCTCTGCTGGGGAGATGCAGCCAGGCCTGCGGAATGCTGCTCTGGCATGGACACCAGTGGGGGCAGGGGGCTGGCTGTGCTGGCAGGAGGCTACAAAGGAATGCTGCCAGGCTGAGCAGGCAGTAGGGTGAGGACCACAGGGTGCTGGGCCTGTCAAGGCCTAGGTGGTGGCTGGGCCACCATTATGGAGAAGGAGCCTCTGTGGGCCTCTCCTGTAGCCATGTCATCAGCCCCACTTCACCCCAAGCTGACTGCTGCCCCATTGACCCCATCCTGGCAGTACGGCACAGTACCCCCATCCCTCCCCACACACATGCACTAAAATGCTTACGCACCAGCCCGCGCCCAGCTGTAGCAGCATCCTCTGGGTATGCCATCTTACTCATGAGTGGACAAGGACTCTGGGGCCTGTTCAGAGTGGCTTGGTCTGGGTGTGCCAAGAGAGAATGGAGCAGAGGCTAAGATCTCAGGCCGGCACCATCCTGTAATCTATCGGTCTGTCCTATAAGATTGCAAAGGCCTCCCCTGAGGTGAGGATGGGAGACCTTCATGACAAGACATGCTGGAGACAGCGAAAAAACACCTCAGGGGTGAAGACGGGGTGACCAAAGAGTGCCAAGAGGAAGAAGAAGAATGCACAGAGCCAGATGGAGGGTGAGGAGAGCCCCTGGTGGAAAAGGAGATGGGAAGAGAGGAAGGGGCACAGAGAGGGACATGCCCCCAGAGGCAGCCACTGCAGACATCGGCACTTCTGTGGCCATGGTGGGTTCGTAGACAGCTGGCTCAGCTCCCAGAGGTCTCGGGCTGAGGCCAGGCCAGAGCGGCCTACATACCTCACTAGCCAGTCAGCTCAGGGCTGCTTTCTGTCTCTTCTTCCCAGCCCACTTCCTCATCTGACTCAGTGGATCCCTGTACCAGCCTGGGAGGTGGCAAGTGGGGGATTGTATACCCTCTGGTTGGATAAGGCCTAGAGCAGGGCAGATCACACAGCCAGGCACTAGCATCAGGAGCCAGGGAAAGGGGAGGCTGGAGGAGAGCGGTCTCCCCTACAGGCTGGGAGGAGCCTGGCAGAAAGGACTGCAGGGGCTCTCCTGGGCCCACTTCCCAGCCAAGGCTTGGTCAGGGCTGTGGCCAGCGTGACCAAGGTAGGACTGCTGGCCCCTTTGGGATTGGCCTCGACTGTGCCAGTCAAGCCAAAGGAAGGACTGAAGATTGAGTGAAAAAGGAGGAAATGGGAATCTCAGTCTCCATGAAGACCCCAGCCGTTTGCCCTCTTGCTTGTCTGGCCTACAGCCCATCTCTTGGGGGAGCCCCAGGTAGAGCCTGAGCTCTATGAGAGGACTTTGGCACTTGGATCACACTAGAACTGGCAGGAAGGGGCTGTTTGGAGAGCCCAGTCTGGTGGGCTCTACTGGGGCTGCTCAGATCTGAGGCCTAAAAAGTTGAGTGAACATCAACTAAAGCAGGGGAGAGAGGAAGGGCACTGCAGGCAGACAAAGAGCACCTGCAGGAGGCAGGAGGCAGATTAGCATCTGCAAGGATCTAGAAGGATTCGATGCAGTGAAGTCCAGATTCTTGTCCATGGGGAGTGCCCATCTGGATGGAGATAGGCAGAATTGCTCTCTCATGGGACCTTCACCTCATGCTTGGTCAAGACAGACTTTCTGGAGGGGCTAGGGTGGGACTAGGTTACTGGGGAGGGTGACTCCTAGACCAGAAGCTTGGTTGAAAGCCAGGAGTTTGTGGACACCAGGGCAGAGCTTGAGGGATCCTTCAGACACTTGGAGGTGGGTGCTGGCAGGGTCTGCAGCCCTGCCCCTGCCTGAAGACCAGCTCACAGGTTTTTTTCACAATTTCCCTAAGCATCTAGCCCCAGATTTCTCTTCCAATGCAGGGAGCAAGAACAGACAGACTCGAATTAG